GTCTCCCACTCCACCAGCACCTCAGCACCCCGAGGGCGCATCTCCCACTCCACCACCACCTCAGCACCCCGAGAGCGCATCTCCCACTCCACCAGCATCTCAGCACCCCAAGGGCGCATCTCCCCCTCCATCAGCATCTCAGCACACCGAGGGCGCGTCTCCCACTCCACCGCCATCACAGCACCCTGAGGGCGCATCTCCCACTCCACCAGCATCTCAGCACCCCGAGGGCGTGTCTCCCACTCCACCACCTCAGCACCCCGAGGGCGCGTCTCCCCCTCCACCACCATCCCAGCACCCCGAGGGCGCGTCTCCCACTCCACCGCCATCTGGAGACGCGGCTCCCTCCCGTCACGCAAGCCCCGCTCGGACCACACTGAGTTTCTCTACCTCCCGCAGCCACTCCGCATTCTCTCCAGCAGCCCCTGGCCCTGCTGCCATGCCCAGCTCCACCACGCGCTTCACAGGCCACGCCACCCGGCCTCCTGCCACCAGTACCTCCTCGGCATCCACAGCGTCCCCGGGCCCAGCTTTGAAGACGGAAACACCTGGTAGCTGCCCCCTTCCTTGCCTTCGTCTCTCCCAGTGACCCCCTCGGTTCAGTTGAGCCTGAGGAGTGCTTGAGAGCACTGGTGAATGACCTGGTGGGGCTGTGTTAGGTCCCACAGCACAGGAGGCGATGGGTGTGGTGGGTGACAGGCCACCCTCCTCCCTGCCCCTGTAGAAAACTGCTTATGTCACAGGCCAGGCGTGGTGGCTCATGCCTGTAATCCCAGCACTTTGGGAGGCCAAGGTGGGTGGATCACTAGGTCAGGAGTTCAAGACCAACCTGGCCAACACGGTGAAACCCCATCTTTACTAAAGACAAAAAATTCGCTGGGCATGGTGGCTCCCGCCTGTAATCCCAGCTCCTCAGGAGGCTGAGGCAGGAGAATTGCTTGAACCCAGAAGGCAGAGGGTACAGTGGGCGGAAATTGCGCCATTGCACTCCAGCCTGGGAGACAGGGCAAGACTCCGTCTCAAAGAAAGAAAAACCTCTTATGTGGGGAGTGGTTTGGATATGACCAGTAGGTAGATAGACAAGGAGGCTTCTAGCTCTCTCTTCCAGCTCCTGATTTCCTTGACTCTCTCTGACTCTGCGGTTCTCTTACTGTAAGAACCACCCCGCTTTCTCTGTCCCCATGTCCAGGAATGACGACAGCCTCCCTGAAGACAGACCGTGGGAGAAGCACAGCCGCATCACTGCCCCCAGCGGCCTCCCGAACCATCACCTCCGCCATTCCCAACACATCCACAGCTGCCCCCGTCCCCATCCCGTCTGAGAAAGGTGAGTCATGCCATAGGGGTGTGCCCCACGCCTTTTGAGGGGTGACATAACTAAAGGTTCCTTCTCAGCCTGCGGGCCCATGGTCTCTGCTCTCTTGGGTGGAAGGGCCTCACCGAGGACGGGGAGACAGCATCAGAGTCGCTGCTGAGGGCTGGCTTTGTGCATGGAGCTGGAGAAGAGAAATGAGCCCAGTGCCATTCAGCAAGGGACAGATCGCTGTCTGGTAGAGGCAGTTTGAGGATTAGTCCCGGGGTATAAGCGCACACAGTGGAAAACGACGTGGACCAGGGGCGGGGAGGAGGGCGGGAACAGCTGGAACAAAGGTGTGGAAGGCATGGCAGTGAAAAGTACTCCCGGTCCTGCATGGGGAGGGGAACCCCAAAGCATTTGGGGTTGCTGAAAATGAGAAGAAGAAGAGCCAAGTGCGGCTGGCATGCGGGAGTCCTGTAGGTAAGGACAGCCAGGGAGGACTCAGTTAATTTGCATTTGACAAATGGCACCCTGTGGCTGCAGCGGTCAGATTTGCAGGGAGAGGCCAGGAAAGCCTGCGGGATTCCAAGCAGGACAGGGGAGGGCGCCAAGGACTCAGCAGTTGCGAGAACTGTTCCGGACAAGGTTTCTCAGACTGGAGCCTAAGGACCTCTAGGGCGGCCTCGGCTAAATTCGAGGGGTCTTCGAGTTTCTCTGGAGAAATGCCATCCTGGGAAACAAGTCTCACTCCCTGAAAAGGACTTGCAGTTGCTCATCTTCACTGCGTTGGACTTTTGTCTTTAACCCTGAAAAGGGTCGGGACTGCTGTGAGAGGCTGAGAATCGTTGGCTGGTATCCTGACAGCAGGACCTGTTTTCCTCCAAGCTGGGGAGGGGTGCCAGGCGCAGGGCAGGGAGTAAAATGACGACGTGTGCTCCATGCGGTGGAGAGCGAGCAAGAACCCTTGACGGCTGGCTGGCAGGGCCTCTGGGGCCGTCGGGAACACAGGGCAGGTGCGGGCAGCGTGGGGGGGTCTCTGGGACCCCGTCCAGCCCTAAAGAAGGCCCAGGCCCACTTGGACTTCCTGCTCTTCTTTGTCCTGGCCCAGGAGTTTCCCTCCTCCCCTACGGGTCGGGCGCTGGGGACCTGGAGCTCGTCAGGAGGACTGTGGACTTCACCTCCCCACTCTTCAAGCCCCTGACTGGCTTTCCCCTCGGCTCCTCTCTCCGGGATTCCCTCTACGTGAGTTCTCCACTGCGGCCGCGCAGCCTGAGCTCCCTGGGCCCACTTCTGTCTCCAGCTTCACGATGGAGCCCGGGAACTGGGGGTGGAGGCAGCCTTGGCCGGGCCTCTAGTTTAGTGCACCTCCACAGCCTTCTTGATGTCAGGCCTCTAGCCAAGCAACACGGGGTGCCAGGCGAAGGCTGCCCACCTGCACGCCCACCCCGCAGCTCACCGCTACTTCTGCGGGGCCTTCTTATAAGTAAAAAAGCTGCACTTGGGAAACTTGACTGTTCCTGTCGTTTCCATGTTCTGTGATTCGTCTCTGGCCCCCCGGTCCCTGTCTCCTGGAGCAGAGTTGGAAGGGCAGTCCTGGCTCCTGCACCCCTCAGGGAGGAGGCTGAGAGGAATACACCATCAGAGGGTGACTCAGCGACGAAGAGAGGGCTGCACCCCCCCAGGGATGAGCGATGGAGAGAGATCTCCACCCCAAGTGATGGAGAGAGAGAGCTCCACTCCCTGAGCAATGCAGGCAGAGATCTCTACCCCCTGAGAGAGGGAGAGAGATCTCTACCCCCTGAGTGATGGAGAGAAGGATCTCCACCCCATGAGCAATGGAGAGAGATCTCCACCCCAAGTGATGGAGAGAGAGAGCTCCACCCCTGAGCAATGCAGGCAGAGATCTCTACCCCTTGAGACATGGAGTGACATCTCCACCCCCTGAGTGATGGAGAGAGAAAGAGATCTCCACCCTCTGAGCAATGGGGAGAGAGAGGTCTCCACCCCCTGAGTGATGGAGAGAGATCTCCACCCCGAGTGATGGAGAGAGAGGTCTCCACCCCTGAGCAATGCAGGCAGAGATCTCTACCCCCTGAGAGATGGAGAGAGATCTCTGCCCCCTGAGTGATGGAGAGAAGGATCTCCACCCCATGAATGATGGAGAGAGGTTTCTAACCCCTGAGAGACGGGGAGGGGGTCTCCATCCCCTGAGCCTCACCTGATGTGTCACAAGCTTCAGGATGGGGCCCAGAGGACCGGCCAAGAGAGGTGTGCCTGTGAGGGGCTGGTGCACAGCCAGGGGTCTGCACCGAAGCAGGACCAAGCCCACCGCCTGAGGACCCAAGGGATGGCCCATACGGAAAGGTCTCTCCCGAAGTCAGGAATAGGACATGACTTCCAGGGGTTGTTAGCGTCTCTAAAGCTCCACCCAGAGAGGCCCCTGGGGGTCGGCTTCTGAGGAGCTGGGCCAAGGCTGGGCCGTTTCCTCCCCACCTCCTTCCCTGAATGCTCACACAAAACCCTTGTGCTCAGTTCACAGACAACGGCCAGATCATCTTCCCAGAGTCAGACTACCAGATTTTCTCGTACCCAAACCCGCTCCCAACAGGCTTCACAGGCTGGGACCCTGTGGCCCTGGTGGCTCCGTTCTGGGATGATGCCGATTTCTCCGGTGGTCGGGGGACCATATTTTACCGGGTGAGCCTTTCGAAGCCTGGCAGTCAGGATCCCCCGGCAGCTGGCAGGGAAGGCAAAGAGCTGTGTGGAAGGCATTGCCAGAGTTACTGCTGCCACCGCCAGGGCCCCTGCCGGCAGGGGACTGAGGCTTAAATACGTGTGTGGAAGGAAGCAGGCAAGGGATATTAAGCTGACTCAGGAACACCCCAACCCCATCAAGAGAAGACCTGCAGGTGTCAGGGATGGGGGCTAACAGTGCAGCATTTGATTGTAAAATAAGGCTGCGGGGTGTCGGTCCTAACAGGAGGGGTCCGGCAGGGCCAATTAGAGGAAGCCTGTGATGAGAGCTACTGCAGCAAGCGTGGACAGGGCAGTGCAGAGGCTCCAAGACGGAGAGAGCCACGCCTGTCCTCAGGCAGCTCAGATGAGGCATGGGAGGGGAAAGGGGGCCCGAGTGGCTGTGCCCTCTGGGACAGTCTGAGCTAAGAGATGCTAGAGTCAAGTCCAGAGGTCTTGGACGTCGTGGCCAGGACCCTGCACCCCGCACACTGCAGGCCTTCCTGCAGCCCAGGTTTGAATTGAACTTCACTTCAGAAGAGCTCATGGTAAAAACGCAGGCCTGGGACAGGGGAGGGAAGGCCATGTGGGTGGGCCAATGTGGGCAGGATCCCCAGGCAGAAAGAGGGAGCCCATGGGTGGGAGTGGGACCCTCGTTGGCTTGTTCTCATCTGCTCTCCTTTCCCAGGAATACGAGACGCTCTACGGTGAAGCCAGCCCGCTAGTCCTGCAGACCGAGTCTTGGATTAGAAAGATCACAAACAACGGGCACTACAAGGCCAGGTGGACCCTAAAGGTCACGTGGGTCGGTGCCCATGCCTATCCTGCGCAGTGGAGCCTCGGGGTGAGTCGACCCGTGGACAGCTCCCTGGGAGCCATCCGGGACTCAGACATCCTCGAATTCTAGGCAGGGGCTACTCTTCCAAAGCCCTCTCTGGCTCCAGGAAAGATTGCTGACCATAGCAAGCCCAGTCCACCCGCCCACTGCCACCACCGTTGGCTGAGCTCTCACCGTGGCCTGCCTCGGCCCTTTGCCTATTTGACCTCCCAGCAAACCAGGTGTTATTAGGTTGAAACATAGCAAGTGGCATTTCTGCAAGTCAAAAATGTCTGGCTATTGGCAATTTCACGTGGCTCAATCTGGTATTATTATCCACATTTTAGGGATGAGGCAGACAATGGTTAGAGAGATTAGTAGCTTGCTCAGTCACGAAGCTACAAATGGCAAAGCCAGGCCTGGAGTGGAGGTTCTTCTGACTGCAGCCTCTGGCTCTTAAGCACAAGGCCATTCAGTTTTGACATGGGGCTCATGGCGCCCTCTCCTCTGTCCTCCCTCTGAGGACCCCACTCTTGGAGTCACAAGGTTCTTCCTCATACCTGGTCTAAAGTTGCTCATTTCTTCATTCACTCAACAAAAGTTCACTGGTCACCTCCAGTGGACAAGGCGTGTGCCTTCAGCAAACCCCAGTGTCACCTGAGCCGGTCATCCATGCTGTTCAGGTGGAGGGGACAATTTGGGCAATGTCCTTAAATATCCCCCAGGGAGCTAATTAAGTCCCCTCTCGGGCTCTCTGGTATCTTGGCTCAGCTCTCGGGTTCTGGCAGCTTTCTCTTACAAACACTGATCCAACTGAATGATAACCCAGAACGCTTTATCTCCCCTCTGGAGGATAGTCACAAAAAGGCAAATACACCGTGGTAAGTGCTTTCACACCCAGGGTGACGCTGCCCTAACCGACCCAAAACTTGCCAGCCTTTTGGGGCCCATGCCTTTGCCGTGGGCAGACCAGGAACAGGTGATGCGCACGTCAAAGCAGGGCTGTGGGACGGGTGGGAGGACGTAAGAGAGGAGACCCCCGCTCACTCACGGGCACCTGTGTTTGCTCCCACCCACCCCCAGACCAACACCTACCAGGCTGTGCTCTCCACGGACGGGAGCAGGTCCTATGCCCTGTTTCTCTACCAGAGTGGTGGGATGCAGTGGGACGCGGCCCGGCACGCAGGCAGCCCGGTGCTCATGGGCTTCTCCAGGTAGGATGGGGGGGCTGTCTGCACTGAGCGATGGCAGGAGGGGTGCCGAGCGCGGTTTCACTGCACACACATTCCCTCCTGGCTGATGCTTCTGACTCACACTGGCTCCAGCTCCCACTGGGGCCAGGCATCTGGCTGCTTCACATGAAAAGATCACCCATTTGTCCACCATTCCCTTTCCCATCCCAGTCTCCGCCATTGCAATAATTACCAGAGCTCTGGCTTCCCTGATTTCCACTATCAGCTGGCCGCTCTAAACGTCTCAGATATCACGATAATAACATCCAAGGCTGATTGCACTAACACTTCATGTGCATTGTTGCATTTGATTGTCACGACCACCCTGTGAGACAGATACTATTTATTATCCCCATTCTACTGAGATACAAGTAGACTAGCAATTTGCCTCAAGTCCCAGAGCTGGGAAGTGGCAACGTGGAGGTTTGAACCCAGACATCTGAGGCTAGAATCTGCCTTCCTAAGAATTACTCACTAACCCATGGGGCACCCGAAAGCTTAAATGAAGGCGGTGGTGGAGGGAGAGAAGAGGCGGGGGCTGCGGGCGGTTGAAATGCGGATTCCTCTGTCGCGTGGAAGAGCTGTCTCCGACATGACAGCGCCCCGCGTCTGTTCCATAAGCTGGTGTGTGGCAATCAGTGTGAAGGTCACATGTCTCCTGTTCTTGATAATTGCCCCCCTTGGTCTCCCCTTACCTCAGGTGTGTTCAGGTTGCCCCTTTAATCACACTGCTTTCGCTAGTGTTTTGTGTGCTACGAAGGAGTAAGGAGTGGAATTACCCAACTACTAGGAATGTCACACGGCCCAAGTACGCCTGAGGAAGGTGCCATGCAGGGGGGCACCATCCCGCTGTGTCAGGGAGGAGGAAAGCCCAGGCACCCGGGTGGGGCTGCAGGCGGCCGTTCCAGGCTTTCCTGCTTCCCGAGCCGTGCTCGGACCCCACACCTGCAGATGGTGACGGAGATGGTGGGCCTCAATACACCACCACCACCTGTTGTACGAGGCCCCACTCAGTTCTGAGCGATTCGCAGGTGTTACTGCATTTAATCCTCATAATACTGCAAGGTGCGTGCTACTGTCATCCCTTTATACAGATGTGAAAACTAAGACTCAGAGAGGGTCAGTGACTTGCCCGTGGCCACCAGGCTAGTAAGTGTGGGGATCAGCAGTTGAATCCATCACTGTCTAACTCCAGAGATGCTCTTAGCATCCCAGCACACTGTCCCTACAGACTGTCCCTCTCCAATCCCTCTGTTTAAGGGAAACAAACAAGGGAGGCCTGACCTCTGCTGTTTCCACACCCATGTCATGACCAAGCTGACCTGCCACTTCCTCGCAGCTGGCGATCAGATGTGGAATCGGTTAGAGCCTCCTACCTCTGCCCATCCATCGTGTCCCCTCTCCTGCTCGGTGCCGGGACTCAACGATGGGGGTCGGGTGACCAGCTGACCCACTGACTGCCTAGCTGGTTGACCAGCTGCTGACCGGCTAGCAGAGTGAATGGGTGCCTTGCAACCGAGAGGCAAGACCCTGTGCATGGCAGAGGCCTGAGCATCTTTCCGTTGCCTGCAGCGGAGATGGCCATTTCGAAAACAGCCCACTGATGTTCCAGCCAGTGTGGGAGAAGTATCGCCCTGACAGGCTCCTGAATTCTGACTTAGGTAAAAGTGCCACCTTGTCGCACCTGAGCTGGTCCTCCAGCCCATATATGCCATTGCAGTCCTAAGGGGCAGCTCCCTGGCATCACCACCATCTCGAAGGGCATCCCCCACACAGTCCAACCTCCTACAGGTCTAAGTGCGACATGGCCCTGCCCAGGGAGTAGCTGGCACCTTCTGCACCCCTGGACACAGCAGTCTCGGAGGGGGCTGCATCTCCTCCCTCGGATGTACCAACCCAAGAGGGCTCTCAGGGGGGCCCAGCTCCTGGAAGTGAGGACAGGGTCTTGTGGGAGGTGGGATATAAATGGGTAGAATGGACAATACTCCCAAGTGTCCTGTCCAGAGCTGCAATGAGAACCCAGGGGAGATCCCTTAAGAAAATCTACTGCTGGGCAAGGTGGCTCACGCCTGTAATCCCAGCACTTTGGGAGGTTGAGGTGGCAGATCACTTGAGGTCAGGAGTTCGAGACCAGCCTGGGCAACAGGGTGAAACCCTGTCTCTACTAAAAACACAAAAATTAGCCAGGTGTTGTGGTGCACAATTGTAATCCCAGCCACTCAGGAGGTTGAGGCAGGAGAATCATTTGAACCTGGGAGGGGGAGGTTGCAGTGAGCAGAGATCGCATTACTGCACTCCAGCCTGGGTGGTGACAGAGCGGGACTCTGTCTCAAAAAGAGAGAATCTACCGAGAAGAGTCCAGAGGTCTGACATTCATTATCATCATTTATTGAGCACCTGCCGTGTGGTCGACACTGTGCTAACAGCCAGAAACATTTTTAAAAGGAAAAAGACCAACTATGCTGCTCTCAAAGAGCTTTCATGCAGGTAAAAAGACAGGTGTCAAGAGGCAAACGATGGCGCCTTCTCCATGACTCAGTGTCACGTCCAGAGGCCGCAGTGGGAAAGAAATCGGTTTCCAAAATGGGATGGGACAAAGGACATTTTAGCCCTAGGAACCAGCCACATGAATTGTGAGGTGTAAATCCAGTTCTATTTATCTGTGGCAACCACGTTTGGTAATCAGAAACAGACGCTAAGTCAGTGGTGGGCGTTGGGGAGGAATCATTGCCCGTCTGAATTGGGTCCCATCCCCTGAAGGTGTCCAACGAGGTGAGAAGTGGCACGGGGGTGCATTCGTGAGTTTTGGTTGACCCTAAAGCTAAGACAGGGCCTGCAGCCCCAAGCCCTGGGAGAAACCCTTTTTTCCTCCCCATCCCCCAACCCCAGGCCTCCGAGGGCTGCAGTTCTACAGGCTGCACAGGGAAGAGAGGCCCAACTACCGCCTCGTGTGCCTGCAGTGGTTGAGGAGCCAGCCTCAGCGGCCCAGCTGGGGCTGGAACCAGGTCTCCTGCCCTTGTTCCTGGCAGCAGGGACGATGGGACTTACGATTCCGACCTGTCAGCTTAGGTGACGCCTCCTTCCCGTCCCCCACAAGCCCACCCACCATCCTCTCTGCTCACGCCCTCAGCCTCTCCCCAGAAACAACCCCCCGCTTGTTCCCAGCCCACCCCCGGCAGCCGCGGCCTGGGCCTGAGTGCAGGTGGACTTGTTTCAGGTCGGGGGGCCCCCGGCAGCAGGCAGCTCTGCGGCTTCACCTCCTGGCGAGGAGGCGTGTGCTGCAGCTATGGGCCCTGGGGAGAGCTTCGTGAAGGCTGGCACGTGCAGAGTCCTCGGCAGTTCGGTGGTGAGTCCATGCAGCTCTGAACCCCACCTTCCCAGCCAAGCAGGGGACCCCCAGGATGAAGCCTCTGTCCTCATTCCTTCACAGACCCTTCCCCATCGGGGCCTCCATTTCCTGATCTTGTAAAGTTAGGAAGCTTCCAACATCCCCACCAGCTGACACTTGGGGATGAATAAGCTGAGTGCCTCTTTCCCCACCTGCACCTGGCCCCGTAGCCCTAGGCCAGAGTGGAGGCATCTTTCCAGGCAAGAAGAGAGCGCCTAGTCTGACCCCGTCCCTGTAGACCCAGATGAGCAGGCTGTCTGGGGGAAGACTGAGAGTCAGCTCCCACAGAGACCCTCCAACAGAGCTGGAGAACACAGGGGCGTGGGGTCACGGGGGTCTGTGTCCTCTCGTTCTCTCCCCCGTCCCATGGCAGTTTCCACAGTGACTGTCGGCCGCACCCTCCCCACTCCCAGCATGTTGAGAGCGGTGTTTCTTGGCTCTGCACCCTCAGGAAAGGAAATTTGCTTAGCTCCTACCATGTGCTCTGCTGCACTGTCCCCCAGTGCCTGCAAAAGAGACAGCACCCTGTCCACCGTGCAAGGTCAATGAGAAGGGCTGAGCTGGATTCCAAAGCCACGCTCTTGCCAGCAACACTGTCCTGCCCTGCCACGCTCTCCAGCTGGGATCTCCAGGTCCTCAGCCTCCCTGACCCCCTGCTCTTCTCCACAGCCCAGGAACTGGAGCCGCAGAGCTGGTGCTGCCGCTGGAATGACAAGCCCTACCTCTGTGCCCTGTACCAGCAGAGGCGTCCCCGAGTAGGCTGCGCTTCGTATCGGCCCCTGCGGCCCGGTGAGGGTCAGGTCCAGGCTCAGGCAGAGCATCTGGGGAGGGGAGCTTCTGGCCTCTGGGACGACGTCTGGATGAGGAGTAGGGGCAGAGCTGTGGCCACAGGGAAGATGGAGAGGGTGCCAGTGATGGGGCTGATGGCAAATGGAGGCCCTTTGTACCTGGTGCTGGGGAAGGAGTGAGAATGGGGAGCACGAAAGTGCAGGGGCCTTGAGGGGAGGATTCTATGAGAACACCTCCCCAGCTGGAGTCCACCGGGACAAGTGCCCTATCTGACTGCAGCAGGGAATCTCAGCCCAACCCATGGTGTGTCATGCTGATGTGGTATCTCTGTTTTCCTTTCAGCCTGGATGTTCGGGGACCCCCACATCACCACCTTGGACGGTGTGAATTACACCTTCAATGGGCTGGGGGACTTCCTGCTGGTCCAGGCCCAGGACGGGAACTCCTCCTTCCAGCTGCAGGGCCGCACCACCCAGACCGGCTCAGCCCAGGCCACCAACTTCATTGCCTTTGCCGCTCAGTACCGCTCCAGCAGCCTGGGGCCCGTCACGGTGCGTGAGGGGCGCCGGGGACCTCCTGCATCTCACCACGGGCACCTCCAGCTGGATATTGAGGCCCAGAAGGAAGAGGAGAAAGAAGGGGGAGCCGGGCAGGAGGGAGGGAGGTCACGTTCCACCCTCGCAGCTGTCCAGGAGTAAATTCTGGGGATGGCAGCATGAGGGTTCTGGCGCCACGGTTTCCCAGCTGTTTGGTTTCAAAGAAACCACTTAACTTGGTTTCTTCTAGTAAGAATGGGGATGATAACATTACCTGCCCCACAGGCTGCTGTGGGGGTTGAAGGGGATCATCTGAAAACCATGCCTGGCGCAGAGCCTGGCCCTGCAGAGCACACGGTGGCCGTCGGCGGGCACCACCTTGGGCCGCAGCCTCCAGCACCTTCCTCCCAGTCCAGGGTGCAGCTCCCAGCCCTGGGCGCTCGCCCCTCTGCTTCCCTGGGCATCTGCTGCACCTGTGGGTCAGGCTCAGATCCCCTCCCGTTTCCTTGCAGGTTCAGTGGCTCCTTGAGCCTCATGACAGAATCC